TGATGGACACGTAGAATTGTCCAAAATCAATGAAATACTAGAATCCAAGTTGTTGTATGCAGCAGATTACATATACGTTCGAGGAGAACAAAAAGCAGAATATTTGGATAAGAAACGTCACGTTTTTGGAGTTTTTCCCATTATTATTGATGTTTGCAAGTTTGATGGTACACCTCATGCTACTGGAAACGTTGGCCCTACTGCAAACCCATGTCATGCCTCTGGATTATTTTCATGCACCGAAAGAAATGTGGATCGTCTACGTCACTGGTTTGCCAATAACATAATGCCATTGTAATTTTATGTATAAATAAATATATTAGAAATTAAACGCTTTTTTATTTATCACATCTTTATTGATCGAGTCTTATATTACAAGAAGATTCAAATTTTCTCCTTACAATTTCGAAAATAATTTTTAAAATTAGAATAAATACAGATGCTAATATTACACAAGACATTGCAAAGACATTGTCTATTTCACTTTTCATATGCTCGCTGGTGTTGTTGCTAACGCCCATGGTATTGGTTGAATACGTCTCAATGGATATGAAGCTGGTGGCAGTTTTCTGCAGGCGTAAATCCAGGTGTCTTGCTGTTGCTGCTGCTGCTGCTGTAGATTCAACTCTTTTGGTTTCCACGTTTTGTCCTGAATATGCAGGCTATCTAATTGTCTTTTAATTTGTTTTATATTCTCATATGATTTAATGTCTCTATTTAACTGATCAAGTTTACGTTGAAATTCCATAACCCTATGTATGTACTCGATGGAATTCATAGTACTACTGAATATGTCCTATGTTGAATGTCACGTTTTATGTCAAGCGATGTCTTGACTGACACATAACTGTTACGTCAAAACGTCTCACGTCACGTAATTCCTACATTTCACGTTCTGCGTCAAATGTCACATATATGTCACGTCCTGCGTCGAATGTCACGTCATTTCACGTGACATTTAACGTTCTGCGTCAAATGTCACATAAATGTCACGTCCTGCGTTGAATATCACGTCAATTCACGATCTGCGTCAAATGTCACGTCAATTCATGTGACATTTTACGATCTATGTCAAATGTCACATAAATGTCACGTCCTGCGTCAAATGTCTCGTCCTGCGTCGAATGTCACGTCATTTCACGTGACATTTCACGTCCTGCGGCAAATGTCACATAAATGTCACGTCCTGCGTCGAATGTCACGTGACATCCAACGCTTTGACACCTCATACGTCAAAATCCGACCAATAGCAACGAAGATACGTTTTAACGCCCATTTGGCAACGCCGCCATCTTTGTTTTTTGTCTCCCCGTCTCATCCCCGTTCCATCGAGCCCTCGTACGCCCCAATCGGACCAATAGAAACGAAGATACCCCATAATGACCTTTTGGCATGCTCCGATGCGCACGGCACATACCGCGTTCAACCCCATTTTTCATCCCCTTTCCAACGAGCCCTCGTACGTCATCCTACGTTAAGCCGTTTGGAACTTACGACCGGGGGTTGCGATTTTAGGGGTTGCAATTTAGGGGTTGGTCTCAAAGCCTCTTACCCTATCTACTACCATGGACAGACAAAGTCACCAATAAAGAAGTACTGCGGAGGATGAACACAACCGCGGATTTGGTCAATATCGTGAAGGGCCGTAAACTGCATTACTTGGGACATATAATGAGAAATCAAGGCAGATACGAGCTACTTCAATGCATTTTGCAAGGTAGAATTAAAGGAAAAGGGCCCCAAGACGAAGAATATTCTGGCTTGCTAACCTGAGAGCATGGTATAGACAGAACTCAACACAGCTATTTCGTATAGCAGACAACAAAGTCATCACAGCCAGAATGTTCGCTAACGTTCGGAACGGACAGGCACCCTAAAAAGAAGACACATCCCGATGCAAAGCTTCAAGTAAACGGAGTTTAAGTTGAGAAAGTTCACAAAATAACATAATTGGGAACTATGATAACGGACCAACTAGATCCAGACGTAGAAATAAAACGTAGAATAGCAATGACTAAAACTACTTTTATGAAAATTAAGTTATTTGTTTGCAATAATCATCTCAGTTTAGAACTAAGACAAAGAATGGTTGCTATGTTTGGTCCGTACTTTTGTATAGTGCAGAAGTGTGGACGTTAAAAGTATCGATCATAAACAAAATTGAAGCATTGGGAATGTGGATTGATAGAAGAATGCTTGGACAGCATGGAAAACTAATAAAGAAGTACTAAGGAGCGTCAACAAAGATCGAGAACTGCTAAAGACTATTAAACATCGAAAAATGTCTTATATGGGACATATAGTAAAGGGAAGTCGATATAAAATATTACAACTGATCATTAAAGGCAAAATAGAGGGCCGTAGAGGTGTAGAAAGCAAACAAATTTCTTTTTTGAGGAATACTCGTGAATGGGTTCGGATATCAAATGCGGGACAATTATTCCATTTGCAGAAGATCGAGAAGCCTTCGCAATGATGATCGCCAACGTCGGATAATTCTGATATGGCACGCGAAGAAGTAATACATAGTCAAACAAGATGGTCGCTAAATATGTGAGGAGGAATCATCGGCAACCTTGTAGCAGGACCATATTTGTTGAATATAACTTAAATGATCAGATGTACTTGGATTTTATGGCAAATCATGCATCATAACGAATTACATATTACTTATAACGAATTTGTACGTGGTGGAATGGACCGGTAAGGTGACTACACAGGTAACCAGATTTAAATAAAATGGAATCATTTCTTTGGGGTTATATTAAGAATGACGTGTATAACACACTTCCAATAACAAGGGATGATATAAAAAAAGAATACAAATTATATTTCAAAATATTTCTGTACAAATGCTTCGTAATATAAGCAACTCTTTCAATGCAGGCATAAATGTTTAGGGAGGTCGTTTTGAACACCTTATCTAAATAAGATTTGAAGTTGTTTTTCTTTTGTTTCCTGTATCGTTATTTAATATCTAAACTACCGTACAACAATGGTAAACTGTCAGTTTTTGACCAATCAATCACAGCCAACTCAGAATAATTATTATTGGTAAACCTTTAAATATCTACCTAATTATTACTTTGATAGAAAAATGAATATATTTAAAAAACTAATAACTTTAGGCACAGGGAATACTTCATAAAAATTGAATTATGGTAATAGTACTTTTCGATAGCGATATAAAATACAGGATGATCCATTTAAAATTACTAAGAGAATAACGTACTAGCATTTTGATTTACGTGTTTCCTTTAAAAACTATATCTTTGATGCGGTTTTATGGAAAAGCCTGTATATTTTTAATTAATTTTAAAATGTGAAGTTTCTAGCTACCTCTTATTTTTGTAAAAAACTATTTTTGGTATGTCCAAAAATAACAGAGTTATGCGACTTTGTCATATAAGTTGATCACCCAGTATGTATGATATTTGGATCGAGATGTTACTTTCCCTGTTTGTATATTCTCTGTGCATAGAGTATTGTGCGAATTAATGTGAAAAAACATAATTAATTTGTAAATATGATTTATTTAGGCCAAGGGTAAATTTAGGTACACTTACATGAGATTTTTTCATTAATTAGTATTTAATAGGTCCCCCTTTTACTTTTATTTCTTCCTGGAGTCTTCTAGGCATGGAATCCAAAAGTTTTTCGCAACTATTTGTGATTGCTTCATCTCTAAACCACACCTTAATCACGGCTTCCACCATTTTTGTTTTTGTCGTACAGTCAAATGTTTAGAGCCTTACATATTGCCCACAAATTTTCAATAGGATTAAGGTCAGGTGAATTCCCAGGCCAATCAAGAAGGGTAATATTATTATCCTTGAAGTATTTCATCATAGCTGAATCGTGTTGAAAAATTGCAGTCCCTTCGGCCTATACTTTGTCAAGCTCTATAGCTAAGAGTTACCCTAACATGGCTTTGCACTTTTCACTGTTCATCATACCTTGAATAGGAATGGGTGCCAGTTCCTGAGTATAAAAAACAGCCCCAGAACACTTTTTTTTGGTGGGATGTTTAACTGTTTGGTTAATATGGCTACCTGCAAGTGACTCATTGACTGTCTTTCGTACGAATTTTGACGCTGGCCCTGCACCAGGAAGTGGGTCTCATCAGAAAATAACACGTTTCTCCAATTTTCTGCACTCCAATGAGCGTATTTTTTGACCAATTTAGTCTTTTTTCATCATAGGCGCTGACAGAAGTTGTTTCTTCTGCGGTCTCACAGCTGTTTTCCCTCCTTCTAAGAGACGTCTGCGTACCGTTGAGTCGTGAAGGTCATAACTTGTTTTCTGGGATGAAGTTTGCTATCGCGCAAAAGAAAAGCGTTTCCACATTTTCCTTTCCGCCGAACTTCAACTAACCCTGTTTCGTTTGTTTGTTTAATTATTTTATTTACTGCACCCAAACTTACACAACACTCTTTTGCAATGTCCCTTTGAGTCATTGGTGTATGCTTACTAAGTGTTATGATCCTTTCTCTTTTCCTAGGAGTGCTATCCATATTAAAAATTTAAACCTGATTGCACAGTTAAATCAATGAGAATAACACCAAGTTGTACATAACCTGAGATACAACATAATATAATAATGATATAAAACACAAAGCATGTATTTTGAACAATATACTAATAAGGTTTTGAGGTTATGTTGTTTTTTTTGAGAAAACAGTTGACAGAACAGGCACAGCAGGTGTGCCAACTTATGTTGAATTTCGATCTCTGTTCATATTAATTCGCAAATACTGTAACATTACACATTTAACAAATTACGTAATAAATTAAGAACTATTTTAGAAGTTTTGGCATATTTAAAAACCAAAACTTACATAAGATAAACGCAGACAAAAGAAACACGGTTTGTAAATAGCTTTATAAATAAAATAGAAAACAATATTTAATTTATACGTTTAAATAATGTTTAAACTCACTACTTCAACAAAAATGTTCAATTATATAGTATTTAAAGTACTACAGTGCTAATTACTTACCCCCCACACAGGATCAGCTTCCCCAGGATACAATTTAAAATAACTCTCGGCCAGCTGTAAAGGCGGAGCCGATGATAATTTAATATTGGTCCAACATTGTATAAATTTGATGACAGACTCAAAAGTATACAATCCCAATCTGTCATTTCCATAATTTGACATATGAGTCATAAAAATATTAATCTATAAACAGTTAAAGACAAGTTAAAAACAAAATTATATACAGATAAAATGTAATTTGTTTATTAATGATTGACAGTATTAGCTTAATGAGCCTTTCTTATAAGCGAATTTATACCAAATGTGAAGAAAGAACAGGAGATACTCAATTTGATTTCAAAAATGGCTTAGCAACAAGGGAGGTACTTTCTTGCATGAAGTTGTTAGTGCATAAATGCTATGACCAAAGAAAATATGTTTTCTTTGCTTTACTGATTACCCAAAGGCCTTTCAACGTCAGATTGAACAATTGATACAGACGTTATACGAAATTGGGCTCGATAACAGAGATATGAGAATGATTGAACAGCTATATTGGAATCAAAAAGTGGAGTTAAGAATCTCCAACGGCCTGTACACAGAAAAATGGAGATACCGAAAGGCGTAAGACAGGGTTGCAGTCTCTTCCCACTACTGTATAACATTTATGCAGAAAAGATATTTCAGCTTGCACAACACAACCAAAAAGGATCAAAATTATTAATGGTCTTAATAACCTAAGATATGCTGATGGATACGGCTATAATAGCAAACAATATAGAGGAGTTGCAAGAGTTAGTTAATATCATAAATGGAATGCAAGAGGAGTATGAGCTTAATATCAACATAGCATGAAAACCTGATGAAGACAAGAAGAAGCCTACTTGAACAGGGCAAAAGAAACACAGTAGAATATACTGAAATCAATAAAACAATTAAAAAAAACATAAAAGAAACCAAGAGAAAAACGCAGGAAGCAAAGATTGAAAGAGTAATCCAGCAGAACAAAAATATGAAATGCTTAAAACAACGACTCGGTAAAACTCAGATAAATGAAATGACAGACAGCGAAGGAACAACCATTAATGATATGAAACAAATAATAAAGTTGACACAAGAATACTATACGCACCTATACAGAACAAGACATAAACCACAGCAAGAAATTCTTAAACAATTAAATACAAAAATAAAGAATATAAACTCTGACCTACAACCAGAAATAAGTAAAACAGAAATCAAGAAAGCAATTCAAGAATTAAAAAACCATAAGTCACCTGGAAAAGATGGAATAACTGCAGAGATGCTGAAGAGAGGAGGGAAAACAACTAGAGAAGTCCTACATATCCTCATGAACAAAATATTGACCACAAAAGAAATACCCGATAGCTGGAACGATGCGGAGACACTATTAATGTTCAAAAAAGGTGACCGAAAGAACTTAGAAAACTATAGACCTATAACATTACTAAGTGTTGTATTTAAACTACTAACGAAGATCATGACAAATACACTAACAACTAAGCTTGACGAATACCAAGCAAGAGAACAAGCGGGATTCAGAAAGGGTTTTAGTACTAGCGACCATCTGCTAACAGTAAAAATACCGATTGAAAAGTCGAACGAGTATCAAATCCCATTATACATGGCATTCATAGACTTCCGAACGGCGTTTGACAGCATAGAACATTGGGACATCAAAAACTCACTACAGAACGACAGAATTGATTACAGGTACACGGACCTAATAACAAACATATACAAAAATGCGAGTACCACAATAAAATTGACGAACGAAACGCTACAGAACCAATAAAATTCGAAAGAGGAATCAGGCAGGGAGACACAATATCGCGAAAATTGTTCAATCAGGTTATGGAAGACATATTTAAAAAATTAGAATGGGATACACACGGAATAAGAATAAATGGAGAGCTCTTGAACCACTTGAGATATGTAGACGATATAGTCCTGATAACAGATAAGAAGGAAGAGTTACAGAAGATGGTTGAGGAACTAGATAGAAAAGCGACAGAGGTAGGTCTAGAGATGAACTATAGTAAAACCAAGACTATGACAAACCAAGAAGACCAATTAGAAATAGTAGTCAAACAGAATAAATTAGAGCAGGTGGCACAATACATATACCTAGGACAGATAATAAAGCTAAACAGGGACAATCAAAGAGAAGAAATAAAAAGAAGAACTAGACTAGCATGGGCCTCATTTGGTAAACTATCATATATTCTAAAAAATAAAAAGTTCCCTCAATATATGCGAACGAAAGTATTCAACCAGTGCATTTTACCAGTTATCACATATGGCTCACAAACATGGACTTTCACAAAGGAGAACATCGACAGGATATCCAAAACACAAAGAGCAATGGAAAGACAGATGCTGGGTATCAGTTTTAAAAACAGGAAAAGAAACTCATTGATCAGAGAAAAAACAAAGGTGAAAGATGTATCAAAACAGGTTGCAAAACTTAAATGGAACTTCGCCGGTCACACTCTCCGGCAAAAAGATGAAAGATGGAATAAGCGAATTCTACACTGGAGACCATGGGAAAAGAAAAGAAAAAGAGGAAGACCACAGAGGAGATGGACTGACGACCTTAAGAGAACGGCAGGAAAGGACTGGATGCAGATCGCCCAAAATAGAGACCAATGGAGATTAACAGGGAAGGCCTATGACCAAGAGTGGGCGTTTAAGGCTGATTAGATAGATAGATAGATCAACATAGCAAAAACCAAATATATGATAATCAGCGGGAAATCCTATATGGAAGCTCAGTTAGATATAAATAATAGAGCTATTGAACGGATTGAAATATTTAAATAGCTCGGAGCTACATTAAACAGCACATGTGACTGTGACCTGGAAGAGTAGATACAGTAGCGATGACTAGAAACGCCTTAACGTCACTTAAAGGGAGATCTCAGGCTCTCGAGGCTCTCGAAATGTGATGTCTCAGGAGGCTGCTTCGAATTCCTTGGGATAAGGTTCTAAGAAGAGCAAATGTCGAAACTTTTAATGCTGAATAGAATTTTTTCTCTCACACTGAACGACAAGCATAAAACAAAAGTTTCGGAAATGTTTTAAAATAAATATTTTGAACCTAGAATTGTATCCGTGATATCATTTTTAAAATATCTTGATATTTAACTTACAACACCTATATTATTTTATCATCATACTAGAGTTTTGTACTTACCGGATTGTAAACAATAGTCTGAAACAATTCTCCACCCTGTATAGATTCATCTAATTTTTCTCTACCTCCTGGATATCTATCTATGAACATGGTATGAGTGAACAATCCGCACGTTTGTCTTGGTAGCACCATTATGTTTCTATGAATGAAACCTCTTCTTAATCTAGCCGGTCTTAAATGGGGATACTCTTCCGTAGACGTTACTCGAATGTTCCAAACTTTTTTCCACGCCGTGTATAAAATTTCATGCACTGGGTATACACCAGAATGGTGAGGTGAAACTGAGTAACCCGAATCAACTGGTATGCCTAAAAATTAAGAATTTTATAAATTTGATATTGAAAAATCATATTTGTTAATATTGTTCTGAAGCTATTTTCTTGTGGCATTGTAAATTAATTACTATTTAACTGGGAATAAGCCACAATTAAAGATAAAAATACGTTTATTGACGTTTCAATTTCCACTTCGGAAATCGTTCTCAAAATACAAACAGTAAATTAAACAAATTTTGTTTTTTGTTACATAGTGAAAAATTCTTCTAATAATTTAATTTTATCTGACTCATTTCTATTGACAATTCAGACATACATTATGCATTTTAAAGCAGACGACTTTAAAATGATATTGCCAATATTGTTGAGTTGCGCTCCTGGGACGACTTTACTTATAAGATAGTTCATTCGATTACATGAAATCAACTTTCACTTGAGAATATCCGTCAGAAAAAATCAGCATGTAATTCGTCTTTAAAAAGACAAACACATGACATGATAACAGTAAAATTCTCCTGTTAGTGATTCCATAGTAAATTATGAGGAAAAAACCAGGAAAAAAACCTCATAATACTATCTCGACATTGTAAGTATTTGTTCGTAAATTTAGTTTACCTTCAACAATCATCAAAATTCTGATTTTATATGTTACGTTATTTAAAAAAAAACATAAATGATGTATCCTCTATATGTTACTGACTTACTAATACTAGTATTTTCTTATTAATAACTTCCTCTTTCAATATTGGTAACCAGATCCTACTACATTCTGCCGAGGAATTTGCGACACAATTGGCCTCATTTAGCATAATTAGAGCAGCTTCTTTGATTTTTCTTTTTTTACCATCCGTTTCATTTAGGACTACATTTGAATTATTCCATTGAACCCTATGTTCATTATCCCATGTGTGTTTACATATTTGAGATCTATCAAATTCTCTATTTTTAATATAAGATTGATATTCACTTATTCTAACATTTAATGGCCTTGATGATTCACCTAAACAAAACTGATCGCATTCACAAGGTATTTTATAAATGCAATTCTTTGTCGTTTCTTGTTCATTGTTAGGTTTGGTTTTGGACACAATAGATCTCAACGTGTTTGTTGTTTTGAATGTTGTTGAAATGTTGAATTTATTTCCTATCCTTTTAAGTTTTTCTGATAATCCTTTTATGTACGGTATTGTTATTTTCCTCATATTATTCCTTGTGTATCCTGTAGGATCTCGGTCTAAGTTGTTCTGTTCTATTCGATCGATTGTTGAAAATTCCTTATTTATAAACGATAAAGGATAATCATTTTTTAATAAAACAGATGTTAACAAATGTTAACTTAAAACGAGAGGTTCTAAGTTAAGAAATGTTAACTATTCCCAGTTAAATAGTAATTAATCATATTTGTTGATTCTAAATAATGATGACTATACAGGATTAAAGTGGTAGCTCATCGATCAATGTTATTTTCAATTTTATCTTACTTCTTCTAGTCAATCTACTGGTTCCATATTTTGTATAAGATGTTACATATATACAGCGAAATATATACATATACATGAGATAATTGGCTTATAAATATTATATTTTTGTTTAGTATATTAATTTCTTTAAGGAATTTTACCAACTGTTCAATTTTACACTTATCCCGGAAGATTTCACTTGTTGATCCGATGATGTGGTTGGTCTGTCTCTGCAACTGGTATCTTGATCACTCTACAAAAACATTGAGTGGAACATTATAGTTGTCACATAGAGTGGGATTACTGTAGCCGATTATATGCCTGTGGATAAGTCCGGTATGCCCTAGAAGCTACACGAAGTCAAGTAACAACGACTTGATGTGTTCTGTTAGGAAATTGATAGTTCCATGGTTTAACATATGTTTTCACTTTGCGAAGTTTTGAAGTCGAACTGTCCCACTGGTTTTGCCACAAATTTTCAACCTTCATTTAAAAAATTATTTTAATCATTTAGCACTACATTTCTCATTTCACTCGAGGTTTCAACATTTCTTGCTTGTTGGGCTACGTCATCCGATTCTTAATTTCCTTGTAGGCAAATATGTGAAGGGGCTCATAGAAATGGTACAATATGGTTCAAAAAATGGTACAAAAAAAGTAAAACTAGTCTTAGCACTTATTGTAATTTTAATATATTATAGTTAGCAATTAAAACAAAATTCACTGGGACAAAATAATATATTACCTTTTTCTTTTGCAAAATTTTTATTCAAAAGCATATCCTCCATTAGTAGAGTGAGATTGTCATAAAGATGAGGTTGTTGATGATTCCACATATGAGAAAACCACATAAACTTATCTACATTTTCCAGGATAAGATCATCACCTTTATCTTCTTCGCTGTTACCATGGTGAAAGTATTTTCCGGAAAATCCTGAAGTGGTGATAATTAAAATTAAAACAAGTAAATACATTTATCAAATAAAATAAAAAGCATGATCTTACCTAAATTAAATTTAAACCCCTGAACCATATTGGCTAGTCTTTCCTGGGTATCCACAAGAGCCATCACATCGTCTGGTCTTATCCGAGTACCGATCTCTCCAACAAATATGTCGTCGATATCCACAAGAAATTTTCTATCTAATGACAGACTTAACTGGCCGTGACTGAGGTAACTTAAACTGTCCAGAAATAGCAATCGGTGCAACCAGAATTTCAGTCCAGAACCGAATATCACTCTTTGGATGTTGTCATAGAGCCCGTGGTCTTGGATGACCGTAGGAAGAGGAATTTTTGAACCATCTAAGAAAACAATAAAGTTAAATAAAGTAAAAACTGACGGAAAAGGTAAAAGCATTAGTAATTAAGGGTATTAGTGACCCATATTTCAAAAACATATAACTTACTACTGTCGTTTAGTTGAAAATTATCGCTCCTCGTTGCCCATTCTAAGGGCTCGTAGGTGGAATGGTTTGCCTGGAATACGGTCCAGTCATTTCCTGGTAATTCCCCCCAAACAGTTTCTCCAGCTCTTGTTAATCTCAATATTTGTGAAGCTGCATTCAAAGCTGCGTCCTACAAAAAAATTGTAATCTACTGAATAGGTAGTAATTTTAAGAGAAATAATAGTACAAAAGTTATTCAAAAACTACCTAAAATAACATAACATGCTTTTTGAGAACTGAAAAATATCTACAATGAGTTCAGAACAGAAATCTCTGTTCTTAATACAGGCAGACTACGATTCAACAATAAAACTAACGCTCCACAAACTAACAAAACAAAATGAATTACAACAAAAAAAGAGAAACGAAATACAGTTTTAACCCTACACTGCGCAGTGTAACGATACAATCGTTAGTAATCTAATCTACTCTAATTTGCCGCCGTTGGAGTATGCAACCAACAATACGATCTCTAATAGTTCATTTTTATGACTTTCGAACTATATATCAATATATATATCGAACATCGATATCGATAAGATAATCGATTACCTTGTATAGGAAAAACGAATATTGGCCATCATTCCCCTGTCGTCGTTCGTGCAGTAAAGAGCTACTTACTGTCAACGAAGAAAAGAGGTGCGTGTTTGTGCCAAATAGAACAGAATCAAACCTATCCTTGTAAATTGAACAGGTATTTTGAGCATTGTACTTTTTTGTAACATTATTTTGAATTTTAGTTTGATAAAAATAATTTTTTATTCATTTTTTGTGACCAAAAATTTGACATTTCTGACTGATTCCTTATGAATAAGGTGGAGGGGGGGGGTTACCCCCCTGATCCCAATGAAAATGAAAATACAAAATTAAATTCAACTGTCAATATGTATTCTGAAAAAGATGTTGGCCCGTTTTTTGTGTTTATTGAGTCAACAAATATAAATAATATTAGAGTTGGTTCTTTCAATAATATAAAAATTGCGAGAGATATTTTTAATTTGAAATTAAATAATATTAATAAAATTAGAAGCAAAGGTTCAAACCGAATTTCTGTAGAGTTTAATAATTATCTATCTGCAAATAATTTCCTAAATAACAAAAATTTATTAGATCAAGGTTACAAAATTTATATACCTTTTAATTATATATCTTGTAAAGGTATTGTACGTCAAATAGATGTTGAAATAAATGAAAAGGAACTTATTGAATGTTGTTCTACTAACAGCGATATTAAAATTCTCAATGCTAAAAGGCTAAACAGGAGAGTAGTCAAAGGGGATACAACTACATACGAACCTACAGGTACAGTTTTGTTCACATTCAGTGGTGTTTTAATGCCCAAATCAATAAATTTTTACGATCTACCAAAATTGGTTAATGTGTTCATTCCCCCAGTAACACAATGTTACAACTGCTTAAGATTTGGACACACCAAAACGAATTGTAAAGCAAAAGAAAAATGTATGAATTGTGGTGAGCTTAAACATACCGATGATTGCACTATGAAATGTTTCTTTTGCAAAGGTCCACATGTTTCAACAGCGCGTACGTGTCCGGAATATTTACGTCAAAAAAATATTAAAGAACTTATGTCTTATGAAAATTTAACATTTTTTGAAGCTAGTGAATACATTCCCAAAAATTACATAGAAAAAGACAAATTCATTTTCAACTCCAAAGATTTTCCGTCCCTTCCGAGTAATAGTACTAGAGTAAAACCCGTTAATAATAAAACTATTCAACACAATACCGTTACACCATCAGAAAGAAGAACACACAATTTCAAATCTTCAAAAAGGACATTTCAGCAGGTAGTTTCAAATACAAATAATAAAAGAAGAGTAATCCAACAAGGTTATGACAGAAATGCACATGATGAATGTCTTTATGTTCCAAATGGTAGACAAGAGAATTACTCCTCTTTAACTGCCTTATCTCAATCTAAATCTCCGATACCCTCTCAATCGGAATCGAAATCTTCTAATTCATATAATGTAAAACCAAATTCAGCCTGGAATGCCAGTGCATCGCATAGTAATTATAATTTTGATACAATACCTTCACATGATTTCCTAAAATCATGTTTAAACTTTATTAACATTTCACCAGATAATTTAAATATGGTTAAAAAACTTGTACTTTCCCATTCTAATCTTAGGTCCTATATGGACTTGGACAATTATTCAGATAGTGATTAATAGGTTAAAACTTAGAATGATCCCAAAATCAAAAATAAAAATCATTCAATGGAACATCAGAAGTATCAATTCAAATAGGGATACTCTGACAGATTTAGTCTCTAAAGAAGATCCAGATATAGTAGTTATTAATGAAACTTGGCTTAAAGAAGATTTCAATTTTACTCTAAAATTTTATCACATTATTAGACAAGATAGGAATGATGGCTATGGTGGAGTAGCTACCTGTATTAAAAATCATATTTCATTTCAGACTATTAAAAAATATAATTCAGACAAAATCCAATATATTATAACAAAGATTGATGACATATTCCTTATAAATATCTATTCCAGTTCAAATAACGAAATATCAGTGCCTTTTTTAAATTCCATGTTAAAAAACCTAGACATAAAAAAATTAATCATTATGGGCGATATGAATTCTCATCATCCAATTTGGGATAAATGTTTAATTAATAAAGGTGGTAAACAAATAGTTGACTTTATATTTGATAACGAGTTGACCATCCTAAATGATGGCTCAGCAACCTTGTTTCAGCTTCCCAACAATAATATCAGTGCTGTTGATTTAACAATCGTGAGTAGTAATCTGGCTTTATGTACCAAATGGGGGATTATTAAAGACTGCGGCAATAGTAACCATTTTCCCACATACATAAAAATCAATGACATTGAACTATCAGATACAACTTTCGTAAAAAATTATAAAATGAGAAATTCTTCAAGAGCTGATTGGGATCTTTTTATGATGAAATATTAAACAACCTAGTAAATTTCTCAATAAATAAAATAAATTACAAACAATTCATGTCAGTTATCAATAAAGCAGCAGATGTTTCGATTCCTTATAAAAATTGTAGGATACAGGGTAAACCATTCAATCCTTGGTGGGATGAGGAATGTACATTATGGGTTAAGAAACGTAAGGAAGCTTTGCACATATTTGACTCATCACCATCACTAGAAAATTATTTGTATGTTAAACATATAATTGCACAAACTAAGCGTAACCTTAGATTAAAAAAGAAAAATAAATTTAAACAATTTTGTGAAACATTAAATAAAGGATCCAATATTACATATGTATGGAATAAAGTAAAAAAATTTTCAAATCATAATAATTGTAAAAAATTTTTATAATCCTTCAGATAACATTAAAAGAGAAATATTATATAATATGTCATCAGTTTCCATTAATCCTGAATTCCGGTTACTTCACACTAACCAAGAATTTGAACTTATCTCAATTTCAGAAATTGACACTGCATTGTTCAATAAAAGAAATTCTGCCCCAGGAATTGATGATATTTCTTACTCAATGATAAAACATTTTCCTCTAAAAGCCAAAAAAATCCTCCTAAATATATACAATGAATGTCTTAAAGGAGAACCCTTACCTAGCGATTGGAAAAAATTTAATATTCTTAACATCCTAAAACCCTTAAAGGACCCACTTCTTCCGAATAGTTTTAGACCAATTGTTTTATCATCTTGTATACTAAAAACATTAGAAATCATTATAAAAAATAGATTAGATTGGTTTTTAGAACATAATCTAGTTTTCAAAAATACTCAGGCAGGTTTCAGAAGAGGTAGAGGAACTGCCAACAATTTAGCCCTCCTTCATACCTTTATTTCAGAAGCCTTTGAATCATCCCATTCAGTCCTTGCCGTCTTCATTGATATTAAATCAGCATATGATAATGTGAATATATATAAACTTTACAATAAATTACAAAATTTAAATGTCCCTTGTCCTATAATTAATATTATTTTTAAAATTTTGCAAAACAGGCTTTTATATACTAGATCCAATAACGGTGACTTTTTGGGCCCGTCTGTAGCAACTAAAGGTTTGCCCCAGGTTCACCTTTAAGCACAATTTTATTTAATATATACATATTGGATCTATTTTCCATTCTTCCTAAAGATATAAATATTATTGGGTATGCTGACGATTTGGTTTTATATGTTAAGGGACCAGTTATCCAACAAATGGTTAATAAAGTTAATATGGCATTGTACAATGTACAAGAATGGTTGTTAGAACATGACCTATCTCTTTCTATAGACAAATGTGAAGCTGTATGGTTTTCGAAGGGACAACGCAAAAATTTTACCCCAGAAATCAAACTTAGTAACACAATTATACCATTAAAAGATCAAGTTAAATTTTTAGGCATAATTTTTCAAAATCATCTCAAGTGGGACAAACATGTTGATAATATTTTAGTTAAAACAAAGAAAAATATTAATATTTTACGTGCAATTTGCAGAGTATGGTGGGGCGCAGACCCTAGGACTCTTTTAATAGTATTTAATGCTTTAATAAGATCTCACTTAGACTATGGCTCATTCTTATTCAGACCCATATCTCAGAAATGCATTAATAAACTTAACACAGTATTTTTTGAAGGGCTACGAATTTCTTTAGGTTGTATGAAATCTACCCCTCACTTGGCATTGCTAGCAGAATCGGCGCAATATGATTTAAAACATAGAAGTTTAATATTAGCTACTAAATTTTTAAGTAAGATCGTTAATATCAAAAACCATCCTTTGATTTTATCCCTTCTAAACTTACGGAATAAACTTATAATGAAACCTAATTTTTATAATGAAGATAACTTTCCTTACTTAGTTTCAACACTAGAATACTTTTTTCCATATTTTAACAAAATATATAAAGGTAATAATTTTCCATGTTATGAGATGGATTTTGATACATTAGTCAGTCCAGTAAAAACACTAAATTGTGAAATAACAAAGAATGAATATATGATTAGAGAAAAATTTGCAATATTTACTGAAAAATATATTAATGATTTTACTTTCATTTATACGGATGCCTCAAAAAATTGTAACAAAGTAGGTTTTGGCATTTATATTCCTAGTATCAATTACAAATTTTCATCTAGACTACCTGATG